TCGCAGTGGTAGAGAACAATGATCTTTAAGTAGGAGGTGTTCATACAGCGAGGCGACCAGGGCATGGGAAACTGCAACAAACTCTGAGAGGGTGATCTCTAAAGAAGCGTTCTCCGCTGAAATTCTGTTAGCGCTCATGATTCAGGGGAGGGGAGGGGTCATGCGGCTGTTTTCATCGTTCCGCTGAAAAAATGAACTGTTCAGGAATATCACGACAAGACATGCGTTCGATTTGTTCCTCGAGATGCTAGTCGCCACGTAGACTATATTTTTATTCACCCTGACGATGGATGCTACAGCCTGGTTGGAAAGTGAGTGACGTTTGGGTTTACTTGAGGATTCGTGGGATCATAATCTCTTCCAAGCGAGCATGATCTGAACACAGAAAAGGATTTCCGAATTTCAGTCTACAGGTATAGTCAGCTAGACCACAGTAGTGGTATCGTGCACCCATTCCACCTGTCCTGGATAAAGACCTCTTTCGCAGCCAACGAGGGGATGACATACATTATTTCTTAGTGTGACATGCCCCTGAACTTTCGCCACTCTTTAAGAACCTCTATTTGTTGAAAGAGGTCCAAGCATAGTAGTTTGGTACTGTCTCTAAAATCAGATAGTTGGAAAGGATGAGTGACCTGTGATGTGGAGAACTGCAGAGCTCATAGAACCATCTCGTTAGCATACTTTCAGAACTGGAGGGCGTCAACCAGTTTCGCTAGATTCCGGCTGCATTCAAGTTGGCACGATCGTACATGAGCTCATGCATGCCGTCGGATTCTTCCATGAACAGAGCAGGTTAGGTTCATTTTGAACTAAATGAAGGCAAGAAGTTGCTTGTATGGGTTTCAGGTTGAATAAATGAGGGGAAAATTCACAGCGATGTCCACATTCACCTCATTATCACATTCACTCTGATCATGAGTGCCTTCCGTGAACTGTTGGCAGAGCGGGATAGCCACGTAGTTCCCTCTCATTTCATGAGCCCTCAACATAACCAGGGTAAAGAATTCATAGAAAAATCAGAAATCCGCTTAAAGGCAATGCCCGCAATCAGACATTCTGGGCAGTCGTGCTCGAATAGCGATGTCAACACGCCGAGAAGGTCAATGGTGGAGAAAAATAGGAAGAAGTGGTCGCAAGTGGCTCAAGCGGACCCCTCCCCCTGGCAAGTGCAGTTCTACGAGCAGGGGATGATAAAACGATGTGATCGGACGAGATTACCGTGCGGGTAGTGTTGTGGCCGATATGGTTACCGCAATTGATCACAGCTGATTTCATACTGACAACAGTGTCCTGCCTATGTCCTCTGCAGGTCTTCTGTCAACATGGCCGAGTAGAGCGGTGGGCGGGCCAATGAAAGTGGGTCGGGCCAATGAGAGAAACTACGACATCATCGGCCTCTTCAGTCGCTCTTGTGCCAGGCGAAAATGTGCCATTGCTGCCTCTGCGGATCAGTCTACTCACGAGGGAGAAGGAAATTCCAACTGATCGCGGTCACTTATGCCGAAAACAGATGATTTCGGGGATAGTTGTCGAAGAAAAGTCGGCAGAGACGTACACTCGTCATCCGGGCAGTTGATTAGGGCGGTCGTCAAGGGGCCGCAGACGCGGCTGCAGCAGCGACCGCGTACGTAGGAACTGTGTGCGGCGATCACCCGTTTCCGGCCTGGTTTAGTCATTTTTTCCTACTTTTCACTGTTTTTGGCTGTTTTTTTCAAGGTTAACTGTTCCTTGTCTTCACAAGATAAATTATGATTGAGTTTTTTTAACTTGTGCGAACAATTAGACGATTAAACAAATAATCACTTGGGCCGGATAATCAACTGCCCGCATGACGATTTTAGACAGCGTGTTGCGCTGCAGCGATTCGCAGAAGGCCGCAGCCGCTGCGCTCTCATCTACAGCCACGTTTCACACGCCCCATAAACTGAATTGTAGGATCGTTTCGAAAGGGGAATCGTACCATCGAATAACTCGTCGTCAGTACGCGACAGTTTTACAAAATCCTAACCCCTTCACTCCAATGCTACTTTTCAGTAGTTGGAGCAAATGCTTTCCACTGGAGCAAATGCTTCCGTGGAGAATCCTCAAGGAGGAGGTGCCCGCTTCGTGATGCCAGCAGTGGCCGTTCAGTTGCCATTGTCAGCACACTTTACGCAGTAACTATTCCTCAATTTCGCATGTAAATATGCCATTCTTATCGATTCTCAATGTTATTACATCATTTACAAATTTTTCATTATTCTGAATGATATCGATTTTGGTTGACACTAATCAACAGAGCCAAGGTCAGCATTTTAGCTGTGTTTAGGCAAGATCGAGACGAATACATCGAGATAGTGTGGCGAAATGTACAGAACGGAGCTGATGATCAATTTGAGAAGTGGGTGGTGCGAATCATTGGAGTACACTTCGAATAACAGTCATTTTAGATACAATATGAACGTCATCAATCACCTTCAAGAACCCTATGACTATTCTTCTATCATGCATTACGGGCCGTATGCGTTCAGCGGATCTGGGAGGAAAACAATTTTGCCACGAAAGGTGAGCCTTGGCACTTCATGGCAAGCAAACAACCTGGCAGTATGATGGCGCCTTCAAAGAAGAAATGATAAGTGGCCAGATATTATAAAACATTTTGTAGAGCGGAGCAGAACGGATGGGACAGCGTGTGGCCTTTTCTGAGGGCGACATAAGAAAAATCAACAAACTGTATCAGTGTGCATCAGATATCAATGGGAACTCCATCACTGAAAATGACCAGGTTAGCAAATCCTTATGAATGTGCTCATTTGATTTCATAATTTTTTAAGTTGAAAAGCGGTGCGAGAGAGTCACCAAATTTCTCATGCTTGAATCTTTGCAGAGGTTGCTCACCCCTTCGGCTAGCACCTCAGCCGTTTTTTACGGTAGGCGAGTTTCTCGACCTGGTAGAGTACTCTATCTTGAGTACATCTGGAAGATCCGTTGAGCCTCAATATTGGCTTTCTACTGGTTTTTGGTTTTTGCAAAGGCTTTGGCGAAGGTAACCTCCAGAAGACATGAAGTTGTTATACTGGTGGAGGCAGAGCGGCGCAGTTTGCTCGC